ACTGGTCATAATCATATAGATGACACCGTTTTCTTACCCTTGCAGGGAACGCCAGGAAGTTATGGGGATACTACATTCCTTGGCTGCTCATCACTCTCACTCTTGTTATCATGGACCTGACCCTCTCTGTTTTCTTCATTGAGGATATTGCAGTTAGTTTCTTCCTTTCCATTTTCTTTCCTTTAAATAATTAATATTAAGAGCATGTGTAACAATCTTAAAATATAAATAATTTTGGCCAGTGTCTGTTAGGTTAGGCAACGTTTGTCAGGAAAAAGAACAAGTGTTTCCTGACTCGGGTCTGTTACATGACGACTTGCAACTGGAGCGTTTGGTCATCTGACAGAGACCTTCCACTGGCTTAATCATCCACCTCTTTAAAAAATATAGTTTTGATTATAACCATTAGGATTAATATTTCCCCCTTCTATGACTATTAATGAATTATATTGTAGATTGTAATTAATAAATTTATTATTCTATTGTGATTGTATGTCATTAGAGTACAGTAAATCTGTTATGACAGCAAATTTTTTTATACAAGTGAATCAATGACCAAAACTTATTATCGATAGTAAAAAAAATAATACAAGTGAGTGAAAATCAGTAAATGACAACAGTGACTCAATGATATTATCAGGTTTGTAGTGGTAAATCGAAGTGTTTAATAACCAAAGTGTTCTATTGTTTTGTGACTTATACCACTTAACTATCTTATGAAGAATTATTTATAATAGTTCCAACTTGAAATCACAAAGAACCTTTGTAATAAAAATAATTTTTTTTTTAATCTGCAGGACTCAGATAACAGTAATTACAACAGTGCTCTGGCCTGGATAATGTGTCTGTACTTTCGACTGTTCTTCTTCTGGATTTTGAACTTGGAGGAATTTGCCACTGGCTGCAATGCCTTCTGCAAGTCTTATCATAAGAGGACCAAACAAGCCCGTCTAAAAGCGGTGAGTTTGCTTCTGTCTGCAGAATTTCACACATTGTTTACAATCCTCTGCACTTTCACAAGACTGTTGAACTCACTCGTAAATATTATTCCATTATATAAGAATTGAGAAAATGCACATAAACAGTTCAATTAAATTATGAGACCAAGATGAAAAAAAATGACTGTGATAATTATAGTAAAGCACAATGTGTAACTACCCTAATCTAGAGGGAGACCCGAAAAGACAACTACATCAAACTCTGCCTAGTGCATGTTGGGAGTAACTCAGACTGCAGTGTGAACAGGCTTATTCTCATTATTAAGGATATTTTTTCCTTCTGGGAAATCCATCTACTAGAGAGAGTCTTAGTTTAATATGTTTATTATGCACCCCATACTCATCCTGTGGGTGGTAGTCAAAAAAAATTACAGAGGTACATAATGGGTCCAGGGACTGGGCCCCAAGGTTTTGATAGCTGAATGAGTTACAAAGGTAATGAACCATTCAGACGTCTACACCTGATCAGAGGTACATAATGGATCCAGGGACTGGGAAAGAAAAATGAATCACTATGTGCTCTTCAAAATATAAACACTTAAGCAGTATAATGTGATCCTTTATTGACAATGTTTTGCCCACACAGTGGGCTTTATCAAGCCACAAACAGATCTGTTTGTGATTTGATAAAGCCCATTGTGTGGGCAAAACATTGTTAATAAAGGATCACATTATGCTCCTTAAGTGTTTATATTTCCATTGTGTCAGAATTTTATACCATTTATTTCCACTATGTGCTCTTTTTTTAATATAATTTTCGTTGGTAGTGTCGGTCCATGCTAGAGAAACTAAATCATCTAAAGTGAGATATCTGGAGAATGAGAGGAAAGGCTAGGAAAGGGGGTTACTTAGGACTCGATCCAAAGAAGGGAAGATGTTTAATCCTTTGGATCAAGAACCCCTTTGCTACGGCAAAACTATTTCTAGAGATCTCAAGAAAGCTCCTGGTACAATGCATAAACTCACAGGTATATGTCGGACCTTGTAGGGCAAATGGTGTAGAACAAGATATTGGATTTCTTCAGTCCTCTACTGTGTAAAGCATTCTTCCAAGCATGGGTCCAGCAGTCTGAACTGCTGGACCCATGGGTCTTCATAGTAATAATGAACAAGGCTGTGCAGGGGTGGTGCACATTTGTGAATTGCCCATAGTTTAAGACTAAGTTCTCTAAGACACTACACAATTTTGTTAAATTAGGGTGTTTATTATCATGAAGCAGTTAGATTAAGACTGCTAATATGCTGTGCATAATTTATTCTTTTAGTCAACAATTAGCTTATTTGTTGTAATACCTTTGTACATTTTAAAAATTGAAATATATTACAGTGGACCCCTGGTTCACGATATTATTTCATTCCAGAAGTATGTTCAGGTGCCAGTACTGACCGAATTTGTTCCCATAAGGAATATTGTGAATTAGATTAGTCCATTTCAGACCCCCAAACATACACATACAAACGCACTTACATAAATACACTTACATAATTGGTCGCATTGGGAGCTGATCATAAACCGGGGGTCCACTGTATTTTTATTATTATATTCTTCTTTCAACACATCGGCCATATCCCACCAAGGCGGGGTGGCCCAAAAGGAAAAACGAAAGTTTCTCCTTTTACATTTAGTAATATATACAGGAGAAGGGGTTACTAGCCCCTTGCTCCTGGCATTTTAGTCGCCTCTTACAACACGCATGGCTTACGGAGGAAGAATTCTGATCCACTTCCCCATGGAGATAACAGGAAATAAATAAGAACAAGAACTAGTAAGAAAATAGAAGAAAACCCAGAGGGGTGTGTATATATATACTTGTACATGCATGTGTAGTGTGACCTACATGTAAGTAGTAGTAGCAAGATGTACCTGAAATCTTGTGTTTATGAAACAGAAAAAGACACCAGCAATCCTACCATCATGTAAAACAATTACAGGTTTCCATTTTACGCTCACTTGGCAGGACGGTAGTACCTCCCTGGGCGGTTGCTGTCTACCAACCTACTAGCTAAGTATTATTAAATATTTTTATTTATTTATTATCACACTGGCCGATTCCCACCAAGGCAGGGTGGCCCGAAAAAGAAAAACTTTCACCGTCATTCACTCCATCACTGTCTTGCCAGAAGGGTGCTTTACACTACAGTTTTTAAACTGCAACATTAACACCCCTCCTTCAGAGTGCAGGCACTGTACTTCCCATCTCCAGGACTCAAGTCCGGCCTGCCGGTTTCCCTGAACCCCTTCATAAATGTTACTTTGCTCACACTCCAACAGCACGTCAAGTATTAAAAATCATTTGTCTCCATTCACTCCTATCAAACACGCTCACGCATGCCTGCTGGAAGTCCAAGCCCCTCGCACACAAAACCTCCTTTACCCCCTCCCTCCAACCTTTCCTAGGCCGACCCCTACCCTGCCTTCCTTCCACTACAGACTGATACACTCTTGAAGTTATTCTGTTTCGCTCCATTCTCTCCACATGTCCGAACCACCTCAACAACCCTTCCTCAGCCCTCTGGACAACAGTTTTGGTAATCCCGCACCTCCTCCTAACTTCCAAACTACGAATTCTCTGCATTATATTCACACCACACATTGCCCTCAGACATGACATCTCCACTGCCTCCAGCCTTCTCTTCGCTGCAACATTCATCACCCATGCTTCACACCCATATAAGAGCGTTGGTAAAACTATACTCTCATACATTCCCCTCTTTGCCTCCAAGGACAAAGTTCTTTGTCTCCACAGACTCCTAATGCACCACTCACCCTTTCCCCCCTCATCAATTCTATGATTCACCTCATCTTTCATAGACCCATCCGCTGACACGTCCCTCCCAAATATCTGAATACATTCACCTCCTCCATACTCTCTCCCTCCAATCTGATATCCAATCTTTCATCACCTAATCTTTTTGTTATCCTCATAACCTTACTCTTTCCTGTATTCACTTTCAATTTTCTTCTTTTGCACACCCTACCAAATTCATCCACCAATCTCTGCAACTTCTCTTCAGAATCTCCCAAGAGCACAGTGTCATCAGCAAAGAGCAACTGTGACAACTCCCACTTTATGTGTGATTCTTTATCTTTTAACTCCACGCCTCTTGCCAAGACCCTCGCATTTACTTCTCTTACAACCCCATCTATAAATATATTAAACAACCACGGTGACATCACACATCCTTGTCTAAGGCCTACTTTTACTGGGGAATAATTTCCCTCTTTCCTACATACTCTAACTTGAGCCTCACTATCCTCGTAAAAACTCTTCACTGCTTTCAGTAACCTACCTCCTACACCATACATTATATTATTATTATTATTATTATTATTAAATATGAAACCATCCCTTTAGAATCTAGCCCACCAACCCTTACCTACCAGGACTTTACCTGGAGAGTTCCTAGGGTCAACGTTCCCATGGCCTGGTTCTAGACCAAGCCTCCTGGTGGATGGCCTGATCAACCAGGCTGTTGGTATTAGCTGCACTAAGTCCTACATAAGCACAACAGCCTGGCTGATAAGGAATTGACTTGACTGACTACTATGGTTTCCTCACTCTCGCTGGGATTCTCTTGTTTCTGTGCAGTCAGCCTCTGGCTAGGTTCAGTGTCTTCATGTACACAGTTTCACTTGAGTTGTGGACACACGAATTCATTTACAATGTGTTCCTGCATCTGGATGACCCAGATTTTTTCCCCACATTTGAGCAGTAACATATTCCCATGCTTATCTATCTCTGAAGGGTTTTGAGAGTTTCCCTACTCTCACAGTTTAGCCTTGGGTCAGGCTGTTACTGCCTGTGGGCCACTAGACCACATGGTCATCACAATCTACTTGATTTGGCACTTGGCAGAGGTATATGTCCAATTTCCTCCTGAAAATTTCAACATTTGTTCAGTGTTTCTAATATCTTGTTAAACAGTCTGGGACCCACGGATGTTCATATGTTTTTCATTATGCCAGTGGCGCCCCTGTTTTTCACTAGGCTTATTTTATACATTCTCCCACATCTGTCACTCTAGTATGTTGTTATGGCAGTGTGCAGATTTGGGACTAGGCCCTCAAGCACCATCCTAATATATATTACGTATTATGTATATCTCTCATCCACTTCAGCTAGTACATATTTAGGACTCTGAGGCGTTCCCAGTAATTTAAATGCTTTACTGGCTCTATGTGAACCGTTAATGATCTCTGTAACTGTTCCATTTCTGATATCTCTGATCTTGAAAGGAGTCGTCAACACTGAATAATATTCTAAGCAAGAGAGCACTAGTGATTTAAAAAAATCACCATTACACTCTTTCCCTTGTTTTTAAAGATCTCATCGATTTAGCATTCAACAGAAGCAAGAAAAAAAGATGGCTGTGGAAGTGGAAAAAGCAGCGGCAGCAGCAGACGAGGCAGCACGTGCAGAAATGAGAGAATGGCAGGAGGCAGAGCGGCAGAGACAGGAGCAAGAAGCAGAACATCAGAGACAACAGCAACAGGAAGAGAGACAGAGACAACAGCAACAGGAAGAGAGACAGAGACAACAGCAGCAGTTTGAGGCTCTAGGAGTGGATAATGATGCTTATGAGGAGACTACTCTGGCCTCACAGACTAAAGAGCGGTAAGCGTCTCTCACGAACAACCACATTAAATGTGCTTGCACATTATATTACAACAAAATATTGCAATATGGATTCAGTAGCAATAAGAACTTCGCAGGTTTCCTTCTTTTCCTAGAGTTACTTTTTCATGGATATTACCATTATTGGCGACACATCACGCACAGACGTAGTACCACTAACAATACTGTATGTGACATTTTGTATATTATTTTGCAATAGGATTTGCAGTTATTTTATTGCATACTTAACCCATAAAATTATTTTCAGTAAATTTCCTGAAGTTGCAGAGGTGTTAATTGCAGCTGAGCTATATACTGTACTTTATGTGGGATTTTAAAAATACAGGTATTGTACTTGTAAAAATATGAAATATGTTAAATATTTGTCTTATGCCTCTTCCTTAGGCCCCCGGTAGCCAAAAAGCCATCAGTACCCCCAGAGCTTCGTCCCTTTAATTACCTCAACCCTTTTTTCCGACCCACTGATCAACACGACATAGAAGGCATGAAGGCCAACCCTGCCTTTGAAGAGCCTCTGATGAATTTAAAAAGGAATTCAAGTCACATCTCTAATCAGGAGGATTACTTTCCTTTTGATGGTTACATAAAACTCACTGACACTGTACCAGTGGCACCTGACCCATTAACTCGAAGGCACGGCTCCATGAGGAATTTAAACAGCCAGCCACCACAGCATCACGTGAAGAGATCCTTCTCAACCAAAGGTCCACATGATGATTATCCACGCAACAACTCAAGCTCCAAATACACAGGTGCTTGGGACACGAATACTGGACCCAGCAACAATCTTGGTGAGTACTGTGTTAAGATATTTCTTAGTTTCACCCCGATCCTTATGTTGTCCTTAGAAAATTAGTGACCGCTACACCTATGACTGACGAATCATTGAGTGCTTTAGCAGTAAGATTAGATAAGCTTTTGTTGTCGTTCATTAAAGCTGTCCAGTCTTCTGACTTTGTGCCTGATGAAGACAAACGTGCTACAGCATCATTCGCCGAATTAGCCTTTGGTGCTATCAAGGAGCTTATGCTGCCTGCATCCGTGTGCCTATAAGTCCGACCCTCCGACTGTGATGATGGAACCTCTAGCAGCTTTAATTCATGCCCGTCGTGTGTGTCAACCAAATACCTTTCCATGTCTTAAAACTAATTTAAGTCCTGTGAATAGTTCAGTCCCACCTCTCATGTGCATAACAGAGCAAAGTCGTGACAGGTACCAGTCAAAGGGTTCACCCAATGAAAAGCAGGGGTGCCATGAGTACACAGAGAGAACACAGTAAATGTCACGGGCCCAAGACTGTTCAACTGTCTCCCAGCATACATAAGGGGGATTACCAATAGACCCCTGTCTGTCTTTAAGCTGGCACTGGACAAGCACCTAAAGTCGGTACCTGACTAACCGGGCTGTGGTTCGTACGTCAATTTGCATGCAACCAGCAGTAACAGCCTGGTTGATCAGACCCTGATCCACCATGAGGCCTAGTATCAGACTGAGCCGCAGGGGTGTTGACCCCTGAAACCCTCTCCAGGTGTCTGTTCAGCGTCTTCTTGAAGACAGCCAGGGGTTTATTGGTGATCCCCCTTATGTATACTGGGAAGCAGTTGAACAGTCTTGGGCCCCTGACACTTATTGTGCTGTTTCTTATTGTGCTAGTGGCATCCTTGCTTTCATTGGGGGGATGTTGTACTGTCTGCCGAGTCTTTTGCTTTCATAAGGAGTGATTTCCGTGTGCAAATTTGATACTAATCCCTCTAGGATTTTCCAAGAGTATATAATCATGTATCTCTCCCACCTGCATTCTAGGGAGTACAGGTCGAGGAACTTCAACGTTCCCAATTTGTGTGTGCCGTGAAGATTCTCTGTAAATTTCTACATCAGCAGTCTCATCTGCCTTGAAAGGTGCTGTCAGTGTGCAGCAATATTCCAGCCTAGATAGAACAAGCGACCTGAAGAGTGTCACCAGAATATAGTAATACCAACACTTTCATATGGGTTTGAGGCATGGGCTTTAAACATTGTAATGAAGTGGAAACAGTGGAGATATTATGTACAAGAGCATTATATTGTGAATATTATGCATAGAAGTTAAAACATCGAAATCAGAAAACAGCGCAATTGCCCAAAGTTTAATTCCGAGGGCTGAGGAAGGGTTGAGGTGGTTTGGTCATTTATAAAGGATGGCATAGAATAATAATAATAATAATAATAATAATAATAATAATAATAATAATAATAATAATAATAATAATAATTATAATAATAATAATAATAATAATAACCTTAATTTCTGCAAGTACATGTACATGGTATACAGGACTAGCTGACATCAACGACATACTACTATATAGAGAGCCACTTGTTATGCAGAGCATTTCGGGCAAATTAGATAAGTTTTGCTCCCAGGATGCAAACCACACCAACTGACTAACACCCAGGTACCTATTTTACTGCCAGGTGAACATGGACAGTAGGCGCCTTAAGGAAACACATCCTAATGTTTTCACCCATACCAAGGATCAACCTCCAAACTTCAGTGTGCGAGCCGAGTGCAATTGAGCTACGGGACATGTAAAATAACCAAGAGGGTGTAGGGGCTTGAGCTTTCAACAAGCTTTTGTGACCATTTTAGGTAGTAGTGAATGGAGAAGAGTGATTTTTATGATTTGACATGTTGTTAGTGTGTGAGCAAGGTAACATTTATGAAGGCATTAAAGGTAACAAGTTAGCTGGACTCAAGTCATGGAGGTGGTGGAAGTATGGTGCCTGCATTCTGAAGGAAGCGTGGGGATGTTAAGTTCAGAGGGTCATTTAAACTGTCAGGTACACACACTTCTTGAGTGACAGCTATTGAATTCATTACCTGTAAATATAAAAGAAACACTATCTGTTTATAAATTCAAGTCTCTTCTCAAAAATCACTTACTCACCCACAACCAAATAAATACTGAATAATTGTATCTTATAAATTGTATATCTTTAATGTTTCTCATAATTGTATCACATAAATGTTTAACCTGAGACCCAATCAAACTTTGTTATTTTTTAATTACATTACCTAACAGAATACTCCATTCTAGTGAATGTACAGCAATGCATGCAACCATATGACCTGTCTTTGTAATACTCACCCGTGCTTAATTGTTATCTGTTTACAATAATGTTTTACCACTGAATACATCATTGCTTAGTTAATCTTAAGTTAATTTTAAGCCTGCCCATAATGCTCTGCATACAAGGGGCTTTGGCATGCTGCACTTAACTGTATTCTTTTGTACTTCTCTGTATCATGTTCAAATAAATAACTAAAATAATAAATGGTGAATGTGTTTCCCTTTTGGGAGGGGTTTACTCTACCTCATTGAAAGATAGCTGGTGTGTCAAAAAAACTATAGAAACAGTATATCATGCCAAGACAAATCCAATCCCATTACTAAATTTACCATTTGTAATATGTGATTAGTACTACCTCATTATTATAAATCTAATTATGTATGTACCTCATTGGGTATGTATCATTATGTATCTAATAATGTATGTTCAAATGTACTGCTCCATGACCTATATCAATATAGAGTAAGAATTAGTATTAGTCTGCCTGATATGCCTAGGCTTTTTATTTGATCTAATAATGGAAAAACAAAGTAGTTTATCTAGTTTATCACTTTCCCATTGCAGTTGGATTACCTCGCATCCACTTGGCAGAGAGTAAAGCTGTTTTGCGGCCTCCCAGAGATGCTGATTTTCTGACCCACCAAGAACAACATCTTTTGCCACCACATCAACCAAGCTCTTCTCATCCTTCAAGTCAACCAAGACCCTATGTCCCACCACATGATCAAGAGGCACACTACTCACCAATGGATCGAGATAGACACTATTTCCCACCACCAAGTCAAGAGAGAGACTATTTTCAAATGGAAAGTCAAGAGAGAGAGTATTCACCCCAGAGAGCCAACATGGCACCACCACCAGCAGCCTCAAGGAAACATCATCCTCAAGATATCTCTCAAACAACTTATTATATTTAATTATGTTATTATTGTGATTATATATTATAATAGAAAATGTGAACAGAGATCATGTATACTTTACTGTATTCTATTAATTATTTAAAGCTATAGGTATAGTACTAAGATGGTGTAATATTTATTGTTAATATGGTGTGAAATGAGGTAAGCTGATCTATTTTTGTTTCAAAGTTTAAATTAACTATGACAATATATATTTTAGTACTATAAACCAACAGAGCCATTGTGTGTACTAAATTATTATAATCAAAACCAAGCACTAAACCCACTAGAGTCATACAGTTGTGTGTACTAAAAATGACTTCTTTAAGACCTCTTATTATTTACTATTACATACTTCCATTGTAATTTTAAAATAATGGTTGTTATTATTCTTTCTTTCTTTCAACACACCGGCCGTATCCCACCGAGGCGGGGTGGCCCAAAAGGAAAAACGAAAGTTTCTCCTTTCAAATTTAGTAATATATACAGGAGAAGGGGTTACTAGCCCCTTGCTCCTGGCATTTTAGTCGCCTCTTACAACATGCATGGCTTACGGAGGAAGAATTCTGTTCCACTTCCCCATGGAGATAAGAGGAAATAAACAAGAACAAGAACTAGAAAGAAAATAGAAGAAAACTCAAAGGGGTGTGTATATATATATATATATGCTTGTACATGTATGTGTAGTGTGACCTAAGTGTAAGTAGAAGTAGCAAGACGTACCTGAAATCTTGCATGTTCATGAGACAGAAAAAAGGACACCAGCAATCCTATCATGTAAAACAATTACAGGCTTTCGTTTTACACTCACTTGGCAGGACGGTAGTACCTCCCTGGGCGGTTGCTGTCTACCAACCTACTACCTAGAGGTGGTTATTATTATTATTATTATAATAATAATCAAAACTAAGCACTAAACCCACAGGGACTAAAAAAAATGGTTCTGTATTCCTATACTAACAAAGAATATCAATAACTATAATTAAAGTATTTTCTAGATTTCACAGTATATCGTATACATTATATATTTATTATTGTTATTCACCATTAGTGCTAAAACAATCACTGGTGAATCACTTGTAAGATTGGAAATCTACAATTTCTTTTTATTTGGGATATTATGATTAATGCAGATTAATAATTCATTACAAGTGTTCAGTACTGTGCTTATGGGTGTTGTATTAATTAATAACTTGTGCAACTTTAAGATACACTTTGAAAAATAATTTTGAAAGTTATTTTAAAAGCAATTCAGTAGTTTGAATTGTTCACATTTCATGTTTCTAGTCCTTAATAAAATTAAAATATTGTAATATATACTGTAATACAATTATTATGTCTATATTTAATATATAAGTAACCGTGAACAAACCATTCCATAATGAACAGAAAATAAAACTAAGGAACATAAAATTTTGAATTGATATGAGTATCCACAAAAATATATATTACTTTACAAAGTCAAATATGGTAAGACAGTGGTAGAATATACTGACAGTACATAAATAACTCACACTATAGATTATGGAATTTTATTTTGAAGATGTTATGTTAATCAGGGACTTCATTAATCTGAAAAATCAAGCATTAAAAACAATATTTTTTTTAGGTAAGCTAAATTTGTTACAACTATTATATGTTATTGGTTAGGACAGCTTTGGTTAATTTTGAAAAGGTGTAGCCTATACTTATATTTACCTGAAAATTAAAGTGGATTAGATTGATAATCGTATCTGATGCAGCATCAGTCAATTGCTGTGACTGGTACCATTTGTGTTTACTCAGTTGGTAATGCATACCATGATCCAAATCTTGTAAATTGATAGAGTATCTGTGATGTTAACCTGTATAGTTTATATAAAACTTGGTCATTGTTGCTAACAAGTGTTAAAAAAAGGATATGTGAGCAAACATTAGCACACATTTGTTAGGAACGTTTCGGTCCTGGAACCTTGATCACTTTCAACAAGGTCCTAGGAAAGAAATGTTTCCAAATAAATCTCTAAGTTTTTGCTCACATCTTTTTAAATATCCACTGTGTGGGAAATTATGGGAATGAGGTTCACAAGCACATTCCCTAAATATTTCATCCACATAATTTAACCCTTAGGTAGGTAGTAGGTAGTAGGTTGGTAGACAGCAACCACCCAGGGAAGTACTACCGTCCTGCCAGATGACTGTGAAACAAAAACCTGTAACTGTTTTGCATGATGGTAGGATTGCTGGTTTTCTTTTTCTGTCTCATAAACACGCTAGATAACAGGGATATCTTGCTACTCCTACTTACACTTTGGTCACACTTCACAGACACGCACATGCATATATATATATACATACATCTAGGTTTTTCTCCTTATTCTAAATAGCTCTTGTTCTTTTTTATTTCTTCTATTGTCCATGGGGAAGTGGAAAAGAATCTTTCCTCCGTAAGCCATGCGTGTCGTATGAGGCGACTAAAATGCCGGGAGCAATGGGCTAGTAACCCCGTCTCCTGTATACATTTACTAAAAAAGAGAGAAGAAAAACTTTATAAAACTGGGTTGTTTAAATGTGCGTGGATGTAGTGCAGATGACAAGAAACAGATGATTGCTGATGTTATGAATGAAAAGAAGTTGGATGTCCTGGCTCTAAGCGAAACAAAGCTGAAGGGGGTAGGAGAGTTTCAGTGGGGGGAAATAAATGGGATTAAATCTGGAGTATCTGAGAGAGTTAGAGCAAAGGAAGGGGTAGCAGTAATGTTAAATGATCAGTTATGGAAGGAGAAAAGAGAATATGAATGTGTAAATTCGAGAATTATGTGGATTAAAGTAAAGGTTGGATGCGAGAAGTGGGTCATAATAAGCGTGTATGCACCTGGAGAAGAGAGGAATGCAGAGGAGAGAGAGAGATTTTGGGAGATGTTAAGTGAATGTATAGGAGCCTTTGAACCAAGTGAGAGAGTAATTGTGGTAGGGGACCTGAATGCTAAAGTAGGAGAAACTTTTAGAGAGGGTGTGGTAGGTAAGTTTGGGGTGCCAGGTGTAAATGATAATGGGAGCCCTTTGATTGAACTTTGTATAGAAAGGGGTTTAGTTATAGGTAATACATATTTTAAGAAAAAGAGGATAAATAGTATACACGATATGATGTAGGGCGAAATGACAGTAGTTTGTTGGATTATGTATTAGTAGATAAAAGACTGTTGAGTAGACTTCAGGATGTACATGTTTATCGAGGGGCCACAGATATATCAGATCACTTTCTAGTTGTAGCTACACTGAGAGTAAAAGGTAGATGGGATACAAGGAGAATAGAAGCATCAGGAAGAGAGAGGTGAAGGTTTATAAACTAAAAAGGAGGCAGTTAGGGTAAGATATAAACAGCTATTGGAGGTAGATGGGCTAATGAGAGCATAGGCAATGGGGTCGAAGAGGAATGGGGTAGGTTTAAAAATGTAGTGTTAGAGTGTTCAGCAGAAGTTTGTGGTTACAGGAAAGTGGGTGCAGGAGGGAAGAGGAGCGATTGGTGGAATGATGATGTAAAGAGAGTAGTAAGGGAGAAAAAGTTAGCATATGAGAAGTTTTTACAAAGTAGAAGTGATGCAAGGAGGGAAGAGTATATGGAGAAAAAGAGAGAGGTTAAGAGAGTGGTGAAGCAATGTAAAAAGAGAGCAAATGAGAGAGTGGGTGAGCTGTTATCAACAAATTTTGTTGAAAATAAGAAAAAGTTTTGGAGTGAGATTAACAAGTTAAGGAAGCCTAGAGAACAAATGGATTTGTCAGTTAAAAATAGGAGAGGAGAGTTATTAAATGGAGAGTTAGAGGTATTGGGAAGATGGAGGGAATATTTTGAGGAATTGTTAAATGTTGATGAAGATAGGGAAGCTGTGATTTCGTGTATAGGGCAAGGAGGAATAACATCTTGTAGGAGTGAGGAAGAGCCAGTTGTGAGTGTGGGGAAGTTCGTGAGGCAGTAGGTAAAATGAAAGGGGTAAGGCAGTCGGGATTGATGGATAAAGATAGAAATGTTAAAAGCAGGTGGGGATATAGTTTTGGAGTGGTTGGTGCAATTATTTAATAAATGTATGGAAGAGGGTAAGGTACCTAGGGATTGGCAGAGAGCATGCATAGTTCCTTTGTATAAAGGCAAAGGGGATAAAAGAGAGTGCAAAAATTATAGGGGGATAAGTCTGTTGAGTGTACCTGGTAAAGTGTATGGTAGAGTTATAATTGAAAGAATTAAGAGTAAGACGGAGAATAGGATAGCAGATGAACAAGGAGGCTTTAGGAAAGGTAGGGGGTGTGTGGACCAGGTGTTTACAGTGAAACATATAAGTGAACAGTATTTAGATAAGGCTAAAGAGGTCTTTGTGGCATTTATGGATTTGGAAAAGGCGTATGACAGGGTGGATAGGGGGGCAATGTGGCAGATGTTGCAAGTGTATGGTGTAGGAGGTAGGTTACTGAAAGCAGTGAAGAGTTTTTACAAGGATAGTGAGGCTCAAGTTAGAGTATGTAGAAAAGAGGGAAATTTTTTCCCAGTAAAAGTAGGCCTTAGACAAGGATGTGTGATGTCACCGTGGTTGTTTAATATATTTATAGATGGGGTTGTAAGAGAAGTAAATGCGAGGGTCTTGGCAAGAGGCGTGGAGTTAAAAGATAAAGAATCACACACAGGGTGGGAGTTGTCACAGCTGCTCTTTGCTGATGACACTGTGCTCTTGGGAGATTCTGAAGAGAAGCTGCAGAGATTGGTGGATGAATTTGGTAGGGTGTGCAAAAGAAGAAAATTAAAGGTGAATATAGGAAAGAGTAAGGTTATGAGGATAACAAAAAGATTAGGTGATGAAAGATTGAATATCAGATTGGAGGGAGAGAGTATGGAGGAGGTGAACGTATTCAGATATTTGGGAGTGGACGTGTCAGCGGATGGGTCTATGAAAGATGAGGTGAATCATAGAATTGATGAGGGAAAAAGAGTGAGTGGTGCACTTAGGAGTCTGTGGAGACAGAGAACTTTGTCCTTGGAGGCAAAGAGGGGAATGTATGAGAGTATAGTTTTACCAACGCTCTTATATGGGTGTGAAGCATGGGTGATGAATGTTGCAGCGAGGAGAAGGCTGGAGGCAGTGGAGATGTCATGTCTGAGGGCAATGTGTGGTGTGAATATAATGCAGAGAATTCGTAGTTTGGAAGTTAGGAGGAGGTGCGGGATTACCAAAACTGTTGTCCAGAGGGCTGAGGAAGGGTTGTTGAGGTGGTTCGGACATGTAGAGAGAATGGAGCGAAACAGAATAACTTCAAGAGTGTATCAGTCTGTAGTGGAAGGAAGGCGGGGTAGGGGTCGGCCTAGGAAGGGTTGGAGGGAGGGGGTAAAGGAGGTTTTGTGTGCGAGGGGCTTGGACTTCCAGCAGGCATGCGTGAGCGTGTTTGATAGGAGTGAATGGAGACAAATGGTTTTTAATACTTGACGTGCTGTTGGAGTGTGAGCAAAGTAACATTTATGAAGGGATTCAGGGAAACCGGCAGGCCGGACTTGAGTCCTGGAGATGGGAAGTACAGTGCCTGCACTCTGAAGGAGGGGTGTTAATGTTGCAGTTTAAAAACTGTAGTGTAAAGCACCCTTCTGGCAAGACAGTGATGGAGTGAATGATGGTGAAAGTTTTTCTTTTTCGGGCCACCCTGCCTTGGTGGGAATCGGCCAGTGTGATAATAAATAAATAATTTAACCCTTTGACTGTTTCAGGCCCCTCTCTGAAACTGTCATTCTATGTCGCTAAATTTTTGAAAAAAAAAATATTATTTTTTCTTATGAAATGATAGAGAATCTTTTCCCGATGGTAATGACACCAAAAGTTCGAAATTTGGTCGAAAACTCGTGGAATTATGCTCCCGCGAAGTTAGCGGTCTCTGCGACATATGCGTATCGGCGATTTCGCCGACTTTGAGCCCTATTTTCAGCCAATTCCATTGCTCCAGTTGACCAAACTCATAGCTATTTCTTTAGAACTCCATTTTATCTATCAGCTGAGTACAAGAAACCTCCCATTTACTAATTTGGACTACCCAATATGGTGGTCAGAAATTGGCAATTTGGCCAATTTCACGCAAAATAAAAAAGATGCCAATTTCAAAATAGGGTCCAGAATAAACAAGGTAGACATTCGTGGCACTAAAATAACATATGCTCTGTTCATTAGTCACATCTCTAGGCCCCTCTTATATTATTATTGATTTCTATTTTGATTTTTTATTCATACAAAAAAATACAAAATTTACTGTTATGCAGACGACTGCATTATTGTAAAAATGGTATAAATAACATCAGTGCACTAGTGAAAGAATATTAGACTCCCCAGTTGACGTGTATTGGACGTGTGGTGTGATTTATTTACTCTTGAACATTGGTAAAAATCGAACATTTCCGCTACTTT